AAAATTTTATGATGCTCCTGCCTACAGAAAGGAACAAGAGAGCCAGTTCTGCCTACAAAATAGATTTAACTCGGATATATTAAGTTCTCGTCCTCGCTCACGCAGTACTCGATGTACGTGTATGGCGAGTCGGCGGCGGCAGCAGACCTAAACACCTGGACACTGCCAGGGAAACACATGAGCCTCATTTTGCCCATCACCAAGCAATGAACGTGTCCCATGCTCAAACACTCAAACTGTAAAAGGTTGATCGATGTTGTCGACCACTGTTAATACTCCACTGGCTTAAGATATTCACCTTTGCATTCGTTCAAATATGTAAGTCTTTCAATGGCATAAGCATGTAAAACAAAATGAACCTATTATTCTCGGGGGCCAGATTATGAGACAACAAATTCATTTTCCAGCACAAATTCGTCGGAGGATATCCATCTATCTATATGTGCAACAGGAGCGATCAAGTCACAGCATTTCTACTGGAGAGTCGGGGCCTCTTAAGTTTTCAGAATCACTTAAAGACTGGGCTTTGCATTTTTCATCGTTTCTTTACGTTTTTCACATTTAGTCGTAAACGCACTGGCGCCGACGGCAACGTATATCCAACCGAACAACCTATGGTGATGCCAGTGCAACGACAAGACACCGGGTGTCGAATCCATTAGTGGCACCATGCTAGAAATGCCCCCACATGCCAAGAATTGAATAGTTTCTTCATTTCAATCCGGGCACCATCCTTTGTTCAAGCTCCATCGGTCCCTATGGACAAGCCGTCGATCCTGGGAGCACCGTGATCTTGATGTTCTCGGATTGCTTGGTCGACACGACTTTGACTCCAACGCGAGTCCACGTCACATTGTAGCTCGTGAGCACTCTAGCGTCGATTGTAAACGGAGCCGACGCGGTGATGCACACGTGAACGGCTACGCCAGTGATGGACGTGACGAGGCCGCTAGTGGCCCCTATTGGTGTCCACGTCCCAAGCGGTGTGAACACCGATTCAAAATCCACCGAAGCGCCGGGTTTCATCTCGACGGTGTCTTGGATGGAGACTTGACCCGCGCCGACACGAGAAAAGGTCACCTTA